GGGGGGGGGGGGGCTTCTTCGAACCCTCTTTCTGTCCTCCCCCGACCTGTCTTCTCCAGTTTGAGCCAGAGACGGGAAGACACAGGGAATGTAGCTTTCTCTCTGCTAGACGGTCTACGAGCAGCCCCCTTTCCTAGCGTTTTTGAAAACTATCCAGCCACTTTCTACTGCTCCTTACTTCTGCCTTGATTTGTACCGAACGGTTGAGAAATCTCAGGCCCTTTAACAAGTAAAAAAAGTAAAGCTGAAGGATGGGCCACGCTTCATGTTGGCGAAGGTGGCAGTTAGTGGGGACACAGCAAGGCAGGCGTGGAGGGGTGGGTCCGCAGGGCTTACTCTCAGGTGCACCCTGAGCCATCTCTCCTCTCCCCTCCACCCCACACCTCCAAAGCCCCTTCTTATTGAACAGTCAACACTTTTCGTCTAGCTAAGGGTGTCTGGCGATAAGAACAATAGCTAATATTTTTATGCAAGCCGGAAATTTTCTTCCCACCTATATTTCCGTTAAGAGAAGAGCACTACCGTGTAAGTTTCAAGTCCCTCTGGGTCTTGAAATTGATTTACACAGGCCCAAAGTACTGGGTTCTGTTCGCGTGTGTAAGACACGGGTACCCTACATTTACAGCAGCATGATCCACGACGGCCAAAGGACGGAGGCAGCCCAAGGGTCCATCAATAGGTGAACGGATAAAGAAGACGTGGTTTCTATATGCAATGGAGTCTTACTCAGCCGTAAAAAAGGATGAGACCTTGACATTTGCAACAACATGGATGGAGCTGGGCAGTATTATCCTCAGTGACATAAGCCAGTCAGAGAAAGGCAAACACCATACGATCTCACTCATGTGTGGGATTTAAGAAACAAAACAAATGAGCGGGGGGTGGGGGGGAAGGGGAGAAGCGGGGAAAGCCAAGAAACAGACTCTTAACTATAGAGAGCACAGCGCTGGTCACCAGAGGGGAGGCGGGTGGGGGATGGGGGAACTAGGCGATGGGGATCAAGGACACACTTGTGATGAGCACTGGGTGATGGAGGAAATGGATGGATCACGAAACTGTGCACCTGAAACTAATATTACGCTGTTTGCTAACTAACTGGAATTTAAGTAAACACTTAAGAAAATAAAATAAAACTCAGCTACTATAATCGCCACCTCGCGTGTTGTTCTGCTGCATGAGGCAAGGGAACCCAGCTTTCATCTTGCATGAAGAACCTCATCTGAACAACTAAAAGCCACACTTGAGTGTCCTTTTGCCTTTTATTTTCCTCTCCCCATACAAAACCTCTCTTGCCAACAATTTAAATGTTGAGAAAATAAACTTCTTCACGACGAAGGCCTCCTCCAAATTCTTTAAGGACACTCACGAACTCTTCAGTGGAATGGACAATTCGTGTCCAGAAATTCACTAAGACCGGTAAACACAATTTATTCTTGTCTTATAAAGACATTAAATTATCGAAAAGAGACAGAAAGAGAGAGAGAGAGAGAGCTCTCCTGTGCAAGTATCTCCTAAGTTTCTATGGTGACACTTTCCATTATTCTTGCTTTGGAGTATGAGTCCCCAGACTTCACAGCAAAGAACACTGCACAGAACCTAAGAGGCAAGTAATAATCCTTTGCTATAAATGTTCACACTGGCAAATATAGGGATCTCCTAAAATTTATAAAGCAATTAGATACTAAGCTAAGATTTATACACCCAACTTCCCACACAAAGTAAATTTCTCCTGCCAGGTTATGAATCCCAAGGCAAATGTGAGCTTAGATCTTTTCTCAACACTGACAGGCCCTTTGTTTGTCATCAGAGTCCAAAATTACTCAGGGTATAAATGGATTTCCTGGCTGCTTCTCAAAACATTGACAACAATAATACTAATAAAATACCATGTTATGGGTCTATATGCCTGTCAAACTCAACATAAATGCAAATACATGACATACAGAACCAGGAACTTTTTTTTTTTTTTTTTTTCAATTAAAGCCCTTGAGTGACAGAAGGGAGGAATGTTAACTCCTTCGCTTCACGGACTCAAGACGGGCACCGGCACCTAATATGGCAGGAAAAAAGATCTCCGGCAATTTTAATAAAATACTTGGCTCTCTGCTTCCAGTATATCTGGTGAAACGGACCAGGATGAAAAACAGAAATTTCTGGAAGACAGTAATATTTCTATCTTGTCATCTTTAATTCTATATCCAACATTTTTTTGTTCTGAGGATACCCATTAAAAAAACTGGTAAGGCCAGTATGGGCAGCAGGGGGAACGGGAAGAAATGGGGGGCAAGGGGCCATCGCCCTTCAAACTAGATGACCTTGGACAAGTAGCTTACTCTCAGTCTCAAATTTTCTCTGCTGGAAAAGGAAATATTCACACCAAACATGCAGCACTTTTTTGCAATCAAAACAAATACCACACCAGATGTAAAATCACCTGGCACACAGTGAACGTTCAAGAATGGTCAGTTTGTGAACAGTGAGATTCTCGCCCGGTGAGGTACGTATGGAAGCATAATGCACTATTTTGTCCCAGTAAGTCTGCGTAAAGTCATTTGACGGTGCTTTTGAAGCGAATTAATATCCCTGATGTGCCAGGAAAAAACGTATGACGATTTTCTCTTTGCCATTTCCAGGTCAGGACAGATTATATAAACAAGCATTTGGTTTGGATATTCGGATGGATGGATGGATGGATGGATGAAGGATGGGTGGACAGACAGAGATTTTGGAACTTACTTCCAAGACCGTCAAAATTCCTAAAGAAAAAGGGAGAATATGACCAAGCCCCAGTCCACTGGGCCTTTCATTTGCGAACCAGGGATTCCAAAGGAACTAGATTAAACTTCACCGCAGCCTCCGCTGCTTTCCCCTCGTAAAGTATTATTACCTGAGGCCTTGAGTTCTGTTTTCTACAGAAAGTATTCTTAAGTTAAAAGGCTCAAGATGCACGTCCACGGACCTGAACAAAGCCTCCAGAGGCGTATCCGGGAAAATACCACACGTTTTTCCCAAGTACTTCCCAGCAGCCTTAGCCTCGGCCCTTACCTGAAGGTGGGTCCATTCTGTACTTATTCTCTTGACACCAACCAACTGGTCGAAGTCTGTAATCCAAGTAAAACAACCACTGGTCATAGGATTCAGTGTCCTCCAATCCCACATAGCGAAGGCGTAATCTTCCTCCAACATTTTCAATCACACTAACTATCCAGTACTGAAAAGGGTTGTGAGAGTCCTGAAGTTCTATTAAGGAATCAACTGTAATGAGGTCTATAGGGCCTTTCCCTCGCAGAGGCTGTTTAAACAGAAGCAAAACTCCTTATTTTAAACTTTATGTTGAGGTTCTCATGGAAACAGATGACAGCAGAAGATAATATTTTCTCACACCATCATCCAAGCTATTGGCAGACAGTCTGGCGTTTCCCTCCTCCCCCCTCCTTTCCGCGCCCACGGCCCCGCCCCTGCCCGCTTCCCCCCGCCACACACACTTGCACATTTCACCCAGCCCTCTGCCCGACGACACTCGCAAGTAAACAGAACATAACAGTTTGCGCTCTCGTTCTCACCAAACAAATCACCCTTCCCGGATAAAACCGGGTTTGCTCGAAATAAGCATGCTTTTAAGGAGAGTTGCACCCAATTTGCCTCGAGCTGGAAAACATGTGGTAGCGAAATGTCTACTTTTCCCATAGACAGATGTATCCGCTACGGGGCTATCACTTCGTACTGTGACCCAACAGACATTTATCTTAAACTGGCTACCACTCTAAGGATTAAGACTCTCTCATACTTGTGTGAAGAGGTGTAGATGGCATGTTTTTTCCACGTTTAATGATCGGCTACATTCGACAATTAACGTGAAGTTATTTCTACACCTGACCCGACAGTTAGTTTAGAGACGATATATAATTACGGCCCCGTATAAGCAACCCTCTCAGCGTAAGTTAAGACGTGAAAAGGGTGTTTGTTCAGTCAGCCGTGAGGGCAAATACATTAAAAAAAAAAAAAAGAATGAACAGAGAAAGACAATTTGTCCTTCTGAAAGGGTGAAGAACCATCATTTTGATTTGTTAACCAAACAATTGAATTAAGAGCCATTAAGATAAGCAAATACATTAGGCAAAATCTTCACAAAACAACACCGGATAACTATATATCACACAGCAGTGCTCCAAAAGTCAATGTCATTGATGAGAAGAGGGAAATTTACGGTTAACGTTAAGAGAATAATGAGTGTCAAAATCCACACCGTATTCCTTGTTATTTACTATGTGTTTCCCCGTTTGGGGCGGGGGGGAGGCATTTTTCAAACAGATTTGGTAACTCAGTAATTATTTTTGACAGTGCACTGTTCCTCCTATTACATATGGTAAATATTTAAATGCTTTATCACGAAATTATTGTTAAATGAACCATCAAGGTTCCAGATTAAACTATTTTTTTCCTCAGTACCTTAAAAATACCTTAACCGCACTGAAATATGATTAGCCAATTCTCCCCTTGTTTTCATAAGGGGAAGCTAATTCAATTATTTTGTAACACCTGTGTGTTATCATCATGAGGGTATACATCCAAGAACGGAGTAGTCAATGGAACCGCTTATCGGTATACCCCAAGACTACACCAGAGCACGTATATTTAGTGGTCACCTCCATAAGCTCAGTTATTCCACGGGACTTTATATTCACTAATATAGGATGGAGACTTAAATGTACAGGAGAGTGGAAAGACATCCTAACGTTATTATTGAAAGACGTGAGGCAAATTTTCCACTTATTGACTGGAACACAGGTGAAGTGTCTTGAGTGCCGTAAGATTAACCAAAGCAACTCATGAAACAAACAGGAAGTGAGGCCATTTGGGTGGAGACATCCGCACATACACATGCACCTGCCGAAGGATATATGCAAAGACGCTCATGTAACTGTCATGCTTCAGACACAGAATAGCTGAATAACAACAATACATACACCTTCCAGGAGGCTGGCGGGGGCCGTCCGGGAACCAGTCAAATCACGAATGAGGAATTCTGTCCAGTCCGTGTACTTCTCTTTGATTGCTGGCAAGACAAAAGAAGAAAAAAACAACAACAACAACACTTCAACACAGCAGGGGAGTGTCCGAGAAGTGTAACATCGCAGCACTTCCCAGGACACGCGTGTGGTTTTCGATACTTTTCTTAATCTTAAGCACCAGGCTTCAGTTCTAAAAGGAAGACAAGAAATCTGTCATCAGCGGGTGACTTCATGCCTCCGGTGGGCCTCGATTTTGCTGGGTATCCAGGGGGCTGAAGAATACGGGGCCCTGTTGTCTTAGCATCTATTCAGAAACTTCCGTGGGCAAAAAGAAGATACTGTCAAGCACAAAACTGGGGAGGTTCCAAGAAGAAAGGGACCCGTGAGGGGCAGAAGACTCAGGTGGAAAATCAGCCACAGGCTCTGAAGGACAGGAAAGGTGTTACAGGTGGAGAAGAGGAAGAAGGGATTTTTGGACTGAGAGAAGGAGCTGAGGGGAGGCACAGGGAGGGAGACGTGGAGGAGGAGGCAGCGTCCAGTCCGAGGGGGGGGGAACGGTGACACACGCCACGCGGCCGCCCAGAAAGCCAGCATGAACACTGAATAAACGGGAAGTTGCTGTATAAACTGAATCTGAAAACAGCATAAAGGCTCGGATGGAAACAGAAGAGGCGAATGGCAGAGAAACCCAAGAGGAAGCTAGTGCAGGTCTCTAAGTACCAAAGTGACGGCGCCCCAAGCAGCGGGGACCACACCCAGGACAAGGAAGGACTTGGCCGAGACATCTCTGAACAAAGGAATAGCAGACGCGGAAGTCAACAATCAACAAGCGCTTAGAACCCAAGACTTGAGGAACACGGCATTCCTGGCCTAGCTCCCAAATCGTAGATGTCCAAAGGCTTCGCCAGGTTACGTCCACACCCAGGAGAGGCCCTGGACCTTCCCCGGGGCATCACAGGATTCACAACGCCAGGAACAGAGGGCAGCGAGCCTCAGATCCCCATCCGGCCACTCTGTGGATCCCACGGAGAGCCAGCCGGCCCCGGAGCCTGGCCGAGGATACATTCGCTACTTAGCTTTCGTGAGTTGCTTGTGCTCTGCAAAGGCATGAGACAACCATTTCTTGCTCAAGGGGCGCCTGGGTGGCTCAGTGGGTTGAGTGTCCGCCTTCGGCTCAGGTCATGATCTCCACGGTCTGTGAGTTCGAGCCCCGCGTCGGGCTCTGTGCGGACAGCTTAGAGCCTGGAGCCTGCTTCACATTCTCTGTCTCCCTCTCTTTCTCTCTCCACCCCTCCCCTGCTCACACGCTGTCTCTCTCTCCCGCAAAAATAAATACACGTTAAAAAAAAAAGTGCAACAATCATTTTTCAATGCTATACCCATTTCTAACTTAGCCCCTTGCTATATACAAAATGGGTTGTGTCCCCCCAAATTCATATTGAATCCCAACACCCAAGATGACTGCGTTAGAAGGTAGGACCCTCAGGAGGTAACTGGGTTTAGAATAGGATTAGTGCCCTTATAAATGAGAACGCAGAGAGTTTCCTGGGCCCTCCCACCACGTGAAATTACTACAAAAGACACCAACTATGAACCAAGAAGTAGAATCTGTTGCTGGCTTATCTGGATCTTCCAGCATCCAGAACTGTGAGAAATACATTTCTGTTGTCTATAAGCCACCCACTGTGTGGTATTTTTGTTACAGCAGCCTGCATGGATGGAGACAGCCCTCCTACACGCCTGAAGTTACTGACAAGACCAATGAGCAGTGGCGTACGAGACAAATGGATTAAAAATTGTATTCACCTTATGCTTTACAAAGCCCTTTAACTTACTCTGTATCTTTCGATCATCATAACAAGGCTCTGAGGAGGATGTTCTTAAACTAACTTTTTCCCAAGTTCACAGAAAAAACAAACATCAGAGTCAACCTCAAACTCAAGCACGCAGATGCCGATCTTACTAGGAATCTTTCTGTGAGACTCTGTGATGCTCAACGCTTGTGCACAGGGATAGGTCAGTACTCTAAGTTGCAGGCATGATGAGAGATAATACGCAAATGACTGTCTAAACAAAAGTTTCGAGATCAAGACAATATACAAACGCACGCCGTCAAGATGTATTTCGTATTTCCTTACAAAAGAAGAACAAGCAGTGTAGTTGAGTGAAAAATGGTCCTGTACTTGACAGAATTTATGTCCGTATCCACTACGAGAAGAAAGTGCAGTTTTTCATGTAAGGGTTGATTCTGACTTCCACACAATCAAAGTTAACATTTCAGTTAAAATGTTTTAAATATGCCATCACTCTATGAAGACATCATAAGAGGCTGAAATTTAAGGGGGCTGAGTCATCACAAGAGAACACTAGGGAAGGCTCTGAAATTTACGCCTTGTGAACCGTCTACTCCAGAAGCCCTACGACTAGCCATTAATGTTTCTACACGAGGCTCCGAAGCAATCTTTTATGCGCCACGGAACATCCGGACAAATTACTCTCCGTGAAAAATGTATCTTAGCTGTAAAGATACGCCGACAATTTTTTATTAAAAAGCAGTAAGGAAACAGTTCTCAGGAATACCGTTACTTTTCAAAGAAAACCTGTTTCGGTCAACATTTAGTTCTCCAAATTCTAAATGCTCCAATGGAAAATCTATTCCAGAAAATACTGCCATATATAAAAACACTATGCATACCCGGCTACGATTCTCAGTCAATAGATTTATTTTAAGTCATCTTCAAGTCCGTTAAATTCTAGTACAATAAAAATGGCCCAGAAATTCGTTAGAATTCATTGCAATAGAAATTGATCTGTATTTTCCTATGTGTCCATGTAAGTTTCTAATTAGAAATTTTAAGACTGTAAAAGACTTGCATATTTTCATTTCCTACAGAACATCTGTCTGCAAAGACTCAAAATCAACTAGCATGGACGTAAGAACAATCTTTCTCAAACGGAATAACGAATTTCTGGCCCCACGGTCATTACCTTTTCCTTCAGATGCTCTACACCTTCAAGTTCACAAAACCTACAACCTGCCCCACACCCAGTGACATCAAATGTGGACTCTACAGAGAGAAAGAAATTATTAGTAAAGTAAGTGGATCAAAGTCTGTCCACAACACTGGAATCATTTCCCCACGTTTTTTAACTTACACAGACACACTCCTAAAAGTTCATAAGAAGACGCTTTATTCATAAGAAGACTAAAATCAGGATCTTTTGACAACCTTCTCATGAACGTGTATTCAAGATTCTATTCAGTTTTAATATTACCTAAACTTAGTATATATAAAACATATATATGTATATATATATACGTGTGCGTATATACACACACATATATATTACCCAACACTGCTTTTTTAAAAATCCAAGTTACACCTCATGTTAACACCTCACTCTGGGGAGGAACCCACATCTCACTGAAGGAAACAACCATGAACATGAGTTTCAGAAAAAGAAAACACGTGCGCACACGCACACGGACATCTTTTGTGAAGACATTTAGAGACCGCCCCAGATCCCAAAATGGGCGAGTTCCAAATAGGGACATCTGGCCAGCTCAGTCGGTAGAGCATATGACTCTTGATCTCTGGGTCGTGAGTTCAAGCCCCACATGGGGTGTAGAGACTACGTTTTAAAAAAAAAAAAAAAGGTGCCAAATAAAAGGCAGAAGATCACCATCATTTTTTTTCCCAGGATTTGGGAAAACACCACACGTGTTGGACTCCCAGGCCCATCAAGCACATGTAAGCAGAGAGAATTCAATGATCCATGACTCCTCGAGGAAGCTGCCTGTTGTGGACACTGGCTTGTGGGTACAAGCTGCCCATTCAGGCAGATGCTGCGCACTGAGACCCAGGCTGAAGTCAGATGGACACGCCTCACCTTTCCATCCGTGTCACCAGCTTCAACACACAGGTCCACTGAGAAGCAGACCGGCTACCGTCCTACCTTTCCGCTCCCCGGAAAGATGAGAATAACTACCAAGGAGCAGCAGGGCCGCATTCACTCAAATATACTCCTTTGTCTTAGGGTTTAAACACACACAGGCTTCTTTTGTTCTTTCTGGCAATTTTCTCAGTTCGCTTTTAACCAAAGCTTCTTTGGATTTCTTTCGTCGGCCATACTTATAATTTGCAATGGCTCTGTCCTGCCCTTTGAGCATTCCCTTCTTGCAGTGCTTTTCTTGTTTTTTGCCCTTTTCAAACCCTCTCGATACAGTAATGAGAGGATTTTCTCCTCCTGTATACCCTGCAACCTCTGATGCGGGGGTGTTCTGTTGTTTCCTTTTCTCCCTCCTTCTCTCTATCAGAGGTTCTCCTGGAGTGCCTGCTGGCCCCTGGTCACGCATCACCCTTACACCGTAGACCACACAAAACCCTGCAGGTGAGATTTTGTCCCGGAGCAGGGGCTTCTGACTCAGAGTGCGTGTTGCGTATCTCCCGTCGTTGAAGCAAACCCCCAAACTAGCCTCTCTGGTTCCCCCCAGACACTTCCGTCCGTTTCTCCAGAGATGAGCCTGGGGGACAGACACAGATTCTGGTCCTCGGATGTCCCACTAGGGTGGGGACGTAGAGCCTGGGAAGTGTTCTGACTGCAGGCACCCCATTACACCTGGTGAGTCCCAGCCGCACCCAGCGCTGCAGGGACTCCGAGGGCCCCCCGCCAAGGATGTCCAGGGTGTGGCAGCCCCCACCGAGTTTTGGCCATCACCAAGCCTTCATCACCTTTCGAGCTGCTAGGAACATTCTGAAATTTCTTTTCTGCACTGGTCTCTCTTCCAATCCTTTCTGTTGTGGGTTTATGCATTTTTTATTCCTTTACTATCATTTTAATGGGGTCTCTGGAGGAAGAAGAGAGAAATAAGGGTGTTCAATCCACAGAAACTCCAGGCTCACAACAGAACTGGGGCTTCACAATAAGATGTCAGGCGCCGCCTTGGACTTATCAGGAAACTGTTCTTTAACGCTGACTTCACTGAGGCAAGTAGGCAACAGCGGATCTTGAATTATGAATGGAAGTGCTTCTACTTACTATT